GCATATTCACGTTAGTCACAAGTTTGTCAACACTTACATACCCACTTCTCGGATCAAGCGTGTTCACCTCACCTGGGTCGATCACGTAAGTATCTCAACAAGGCAGCGCATCCAATAATTTTGTATAATCCGACATTGAAAATGTGGTGGGATGAAGTTCATCCTACCGGTCAATTTGCAAGTAAACTGTTCGCGATATGGTCTGCTATGAATGTGCTAATTATCCGGCGGAATGTCAATCACAAGAAAGCGCAGTACCATCCCCATCTTGCTCTCATCCATAACACCACCAGTCTTGTAATGTTTGTCGAGCCTGACTACTTACAGTGGACGACACAGCAAGGATGCTCTTTTGTGTGACAATATTAATTATGCTTTTGCTGTGTCTTTCAGAATGAGAAACATTATACTGATCTTTGCATTCAAGAAGCATACGGCTATTTTTGCTCATTACTTAATGCTATCACCGTTTTGTTTGCATAAAATAAAGTAAAATAAAACAACACAATACCATTTAGTATAATAGAATACAATGTAGCAATGGCAAATAATACGAATTCTATCAGGGGTTAGCAATCACGCAGACAAGGGCGCTATCAATCCTGACCACTCAATGTCACTTAGATCGTGTTCGCGAGGGATATCCATATCCCTACTGATGTTTTGCAATGTTACGCCATTATTGCTATTTAGATTAAGTGGTTAGAATTCTCTACATTTTAGGCATATAAATAAGAAAAGCATTTCGAAAACAGATTTGGCTAAATACTACGTTATGGGTATACAAGAAAATATTGGCAAACGCGCTCTTCCACCGATATGTCCAGAGTCATAACCCTTGTTAAAAGTAGCTCAAACTCGAGCATCTTCATTGTCGAATAATCGACAGCAGAACCTCGTATAACCGTAACAAAGCCACACGAAGGTTAAACAAACGTCTTACTAGCCTACTGAAAATACATTATATAGTAGGAAAGGAAGTTGTAAAATAATTTTTTTTACGTCTCCGGAGATTAGCGTTCCAGTATCGGCATGAGCTTCGGAAAGAATCCCAAACGTGATACCAAAAGCTTTGTGACAAAACTCATTCTCTCGTTGATTTCAAGCTTCTGGACAGGTCGCACTTTTAAACAACGTACTTCTCCATTCCACATGAACATGCAATAGATGGTCAAAATTTACTCGATGTGGTCCACACATCGGCCACTCATTGGCCAGCTTTCCCAAATGCAAGTTTCTGGCCAATGAAATTTCGTTCTCAGTGGATTAATGTGCGCAGCTGTGCCAATATATATATACAAACGCATCTGAACAGCTTTCTCACATTTTTTTTTTAAATTCAGCAAATCAATGTGAGAACGTTCATCATTTTTTTCCCTATCCAGTGACAAATAGAACATGAATTACGGAGGAAAAGGCAATGCTCCTGATGAATGGCCATGCAAATATCTCCAGATCTCCCTAGGAACAAACGCTGCTGCCCTCTAACAAATTGAGCAAGAAGCCAGCATCATGAGCTTTCGTAATCGCCCTCGGCTCCAGAATCGGACATCGCGTTTTCAGTATCGTTCAGTTCAAAATTTTACTGCATATTCGTGTGGAATGGAGAAGTAGAGATCAAACTTGTTTCCCTTTGAATCAATATCCAGCACTTGAAAGCGTGTATCAGTAAGAACTCGACGTCCGCGTACATCCCAGTTCACGCTGCATCAAATCGTTCATATATTTGGCCTTATCACCGCGCAGGTTTAATTCCTTTTCCTGCTGTAGTCCTCCTGGCAAAACTGAAACTTTTAAAGCAATAAAGCAATATTAAAAAAA